GTTCAGGTCCCTGCCAGACCGCAGCTCCGTATGTCTCCTTTTTTGGTATTTTCACTCAAATTCTTCTGCTAGTTGGGGTTTAGTCTACTTCTGTATCCTTCCCTTCAAGGCTCAGGGGTCCAAGATTATCTTCTGTGTCTGTGTCAATTGGTTTCCCTTCTCTTTGTTGAAGAGGGTCTGTGCAGTCCTTCTGCCTAGTCTGCCATCTTGCCAGAACTCTCTACTATGGTCTTTTTAATGACTGTAGGATCTGTAGTGGTATTCTCTTTTCCATTCCTGACTTGGTTAGTTTGCCTTCTCTCTTATTTCATCAGTTTTACCAGATATCTACCAATTTCATGAGTCTTTTCAAAAAACAGTATTTCTCTTTGATTCTCTCTAGTGAATTTTTGTTTTCTATATTATTAATTTCTGTTCTTTACTATTTCCATCTACTTCCTTGGAATTATTTTTGCTTATTTTTAGAGATTTATGGACTTGAAGCTTGGATATTTGATTTTTAGGCTTTCTTCTTATTTAATATTTGCATATTAAGACATTTCTAAGTGCAGCTTTAGTTTGTACCTAAAGTTTTGGTATATCATTCCTTTATTATCATTAGGTTAAAAATATTTTATAATTTCTATTCCTTTGATATTTGGGCTATTGATCAAAACATATAGGGATTTTCTAATTATCTTTTTATTATGGATTTGTAGCTTACTTATGTTGTGATCAGAGAGCATACTCTGTGTTATTTGAAACCTTTGAAATTTGTTGGGACTTGCTTTGTGGCCTAACTTGTGTTCAATTTTGGTAAATATATATATATGCATATTTGAAAGGACTATGTATTGTTGTTGGATGCGTTGTTTTATGTAGGTTCATTATGCTAAGTTTGTAAATCATGTGGTTAAATCTTCCCTATTGCTACTAGTTTTCTGACTGCTTGTTCTATAAATTACTGAGAAGGAAGTGTCAAACATCTTTTATGCAGCTCTGTTGGTATAGAACAGTTGGGGCATATGACATGCTATGTTCTGCTTTAAGAGATACTGTTTTCC